GAGTTGAAGATGGAGGTCTCAGAAAAAAGCCAGAGGCACATCTTAGTGGAAGTTTCACCTGAACTACTTTTTGTAGATAATGATATTTTTGTTAGTCTGACAAGGAAAAGAGGGCACAGCGAGGGCAGAGACAGGAAGGTACAAAACAGGACAGCGAGTGGAGGTGATTCTAAAAAGGAAATTCATAACACAAGGACTTCCATATATATTTTGGGGAACATTTAAAAATTAGTGCAACTCAGTTTGAAAAACAAAAATTCTAAGCTCACTTTAAACCAGCCAGTGAAATTATAAATTTATAAAAATACAAGTAGTATACTTTTCATACAAATGAAAATTAAATAAGTAAAATAATTATATGTTTTATCTTAAATGTGTTAGTAGTATCATTGCTAACTTCTGAGTGTATTTTGTAGAGCATTTTCTAACTATTTAAAAAAAGGCTTCCTAATCCTGCACTAGTCATGGTAATATTCTCCTGTGCCATTTTCCTCCCAATAATCTCATCTGTTATTTAATAATTTAAGGGGATCTTTCTAAATAAGTGGTTTCTTTGTTCTTCTGGAACTACAATGGGTTTAAATATAGTATTATTTTATGAAAGCACTTCTGAGCAGTTTTCAGGCTCTTTGGCTTCATTAACTATGGATGGAGATTTTAATTCAGAGTTATCTGTAACCAGATTTGATATTGTCATGCTCATAGTTTTTGTGTTTGATAACTACTTGAACTGTATTAACGTTTATTCTTGCAACAGAAGCTTTTTCTTGTCTACTGCCTCTCCCTCGTTCCTGTGGAGGAGGATGGCAATACAGAAGAATGCTTTCTAAATAGTTGTGCCTGTGTTTGATTTGAAATTTTTATGCAACATATGGGTAGAAAATAGTCTTGTTCTGCAATTTTACATCATACGTAAAAAACTTGAGTCTCTCATCTTGATCTCATGATTTAAATGATTCAGAAAATAATTGTAATGCACCAATAAAAATACCAGTATTTTAGTACTTAAACATATTACAGCATAATGGGATTTAGAATAAAAGTATTGCAATCATGAACTGCATGGAATGTGCTTTATTTCCCTTTCTCCAAAAATAGGTGATGGTTGATGACTTCGATCACTACACCAATACTTACCAAATCTACTCCAAGGATCCCAAGAACTGTCAGGAATTGCTTAGCTCACTAGAAGTCATTGACTGGAAACAGCATTTGCAGATCCAGAGTAAGTAAGAAGAATGGGAATGTGTTGACTCACTTCTCTGTCCTGACAATTACCTCTACAACTAGTATCTTTCTCCATACTTCAAACCCTCAGCCTGCTGTCAAATTTTTGACTCATCTGTGAATATACCTGTAAAGGGGAAAAAACACCCTCAAAGCTTGCAAAATATGGGCTTCATGTAGAGAAACATAACATAACTCCTTGATAGCCAAGAATTTATGGCATATTTTGCAGACATATCCAGAATCCCTAAGGTTGATTGGGTGCCAGAGGAGAGCTTCCCCTAGGGCCTTCCATGCCTGGAATAAGAATGACAACTCGTTACATAAAGCACTGCTCAGGTCATGAAGGACACTGTCATGGGTACAAGCATGCCCTCCAGAATCGGACTTGCTGGGACAGCATTTGTCTGTTACTTGCTATGTGATCCTAGACACATGAATTGTCCTCACTGAGATCATATATAAAAATGAGGATAATGGTACCTAAAACACAGGCATGTTGAACAGATTAGATAAAATGCTGAATAGGAATTGCGTAGCACAAAACCCGGATGTGTCAGTTAGGTTTGCATAGCAAACCTCATAATTCTGTGAATCAACATTTGGGCTGGGCTTTGCAAGGCCATTCTTCTGGTTCCATCTGGGTACTCATGCAGCTGGGTACTAATGGATGGACTATGGGCTGGTTGCTTTAGCATGGCCTCAATCACATGTCTAAATGAAGGTTCTGGCTGTCAGCGCTGGCAACCACAGTGCCACATGATAGGAGCACAAGTCCTCAGCAGGCTACTCTAATACCATTCACATGGTGTTGGTCTCAAGGAAATCAGGAGCACAAAGAAAGGGCCAGAACCAATGTGCAAGAACTCTTAAGCCTCTCCCTGCAACAAATGTACTCTTTGCCAATGGTAAAAGCAATCATATGGCAAATGATGCAGTGCAGGAGGGGACTATTCCAGAGAATGGATACAAAGAGAGGTGGCCAAATTGTGGGTCATTCCTGCAACAATCCACCACACTGGGAACACAGGAATTGCATAAGAGATGTTGGCTGCTATTGTTTTTATAACTCATCTCATGGGATTATCAAAACGGCATGATCATGTAGCCCAGGAAATTTGGCTCCAGTCCAGTCTTGGTATTTCCACAAATGGTATCACCATGGCTGAATGAATCGCTGAGCACATTCGTTGCACAAATCCTGACTATGTGACCTCCTGTCACATGGTGACAGAACCAAGCCATAACCAGGGGTTTTAGACTGTAAATGTAGACACTTCTTACTCCACAAAATGCACTGAAATCATTACATCTCTCCTTAAAATCCCATCTAGGTTCCCAGCCCAGCCTAAATGAGGTGATACAAAATCTTGCAGCCGTGCAATCCTTCCAAGTGAAACACACGCAGCGTTTTCTCTACATGGCGATAAACACCGTAAAGAAACTGACTCCTTCCCTGTTGGATGTAAAGAAATTACCACCAGCTGATGGTAAACCCAAGGCCATGTAAGTTTGACAAAAGTCACTTCACTACTCACACCTCCCATTCCTGAAGTAGCCTTCCACCTTCCCTTCCTGCTTTCACTCCTGTCAGCTTATGGTCAATATTCTTCAAAGCAGCCCAAATCATGGTTTTCAGAAATGGAAGTTAGGCAATAGGGACAAGAACAAATATAATAAATACTCATGAACTTTGTTTTTCTCTTGGAACTTCCATAGCAATCAAGAAATGTTTAGACTCTCATCGCTGGATGTTACCCACGCGGCCCTGGTGAATAAATTCTGGCATTTTGGTGGCAATGAGAGGAGCCAGAGATTCATTGAGCGGTGTATCCAGACCTTCCCCACCTTCTGTCTGCTGGGGCCTGAAGGGACACCTGTGTGCTGGGACCTGATGGACCAGACAGGAGAGATGCGGATGGCGGCCACCGTGCCTGAGTACCGGAACCAGGGCCTCATCTCCTATGTTATCTATATCCACTCCCAGGCTCTGAACAAACTCGGCTTCCCGCTGTATTCTCACACAGACAAGGAAAACAAAATTATGCAGAAAATGTGTTACAATCTGCATCATATCTGCATGCCCTGTACCTGGAACCAGTGGCACTGTGTGCCTCTGTGAATCCGTCCTACACAAGCATCAGATGGGCCCTGGCATGTGCCTAGATTGTACATAATTGCCATTATCAGTAAAGAAGCGGGCTCTGGGGGAGCAGTGCGAATGCTCAATATCATGGTCCCTGCACTCAGGTCACTGCTGGGCTTCCCATAGATGTCTCAATGTGACACAGTCCCAGGCACTCCACATGGTTGAGATCCCCACACTTCCAGGGATCTATGGACACTCTTTTCATGAGCTTTATGCTGCCTTGAATGGCTTCTGGAACTCCTAGTGTGTGGATCTGTAGAGCCTTGCTAAATTTTCCAGGGCTGGGTAGTATTTTCTGGTCATTATGACTCATTACTCAACCTTTCTATGGCCTTTCTCTTAACAATAGGCAAGTGGGCTCTGCTCAGGTCTGTAGAGATTATACTCTTCTCAGGTTGCTGCTTTATCAGTACATTAAATAATTATACACAGTACATTAAACACAGTGCATTAAATAACCATACAAATATATATGAAATATTTAGTTAAACATGATATAGCAGGGAGAGTTACTAAGAAAAAGACTAAGTTATATAAGCCTCTCCTCTCCTCACTCCCACACCAGGGAAATTGATTCAATGTTGTTTCTAAAAGAAGAGCTTCCTAAATCTACCCAAACTCACAAGCAATAAAGAGATTCTGCGTTTGATTGTACAAGTTGAAGTGAAGTGGTTCATGATGGGAAGAGCCTGAATTGGGTTTATGGAGAGTGGGAAGACCCAGACCCAGGGAGGTGGGCCATGGCTGAGACAGGATGGTGTCAAGTGATGGATTGCTCCTGTGCTTCAGATGCAGATGGTTTTGTTTACAAATCATTTTAAAGTCTTCGATTTTTAAAACAATTCTCTTTAAAGACCTCTTAAATAGCATTTACTTTGGTTTAGATGATAAACCAAATTAATTAAGCACTTTAAGCTATATCTATAAATTTAACTTCTCTTTTAAGGATGTATATTTTGGGCAACAAACAAACTATTCTTAAATACTAAGTAATTCTTGTAACCTCACAAAATGACCTTTTGAAACTTACACATACAGTACATCAAACTTTTATTGGCTCTTCTAATTGAAGTACAACATTAAGAAGCTTTCAACTGTAAAATTTCATAAATCTAAATCAATTACCCTAATTATGCCTTTTATATTGAGTTTAAAGGTTATTACTCTAACAGGCAATTACATACACACACACACACACACACACACACATATACACACAAACATATATATAAAATAAGTATGTGAATACTAAATAGTCATTATTTCCACCTTAATTCAAAAATATTTGTACCATGAGTTTGACTCCCTTAAAACAATAGTCCTCAGCCAGGGGGAATTTTATTCTCGAAAGGGCATTTGAAATGGCCTGGAGACATTTTGGTTGTCACAGCTTGGGGAGGTGATGTGCCTGGTATCTAGTGGGTAAAAGGATGGTGCTAAACCCTACAATGCCCAGAGCAGCCCCTCATAAAGAATTATCTGGCCCCAAATATCCATAGTGGCAAGGTTGAGAAACCCTGCTCTAAACATTTGTATGTTCAATGGTAACTCATACCCACTTAAATAAGGTGTGTACCATCTTAAGTTCTTGAAGCTATTTCCTACCAGAAAAATAGTTAGGATGCCTAGTTTCTTTTATTTTTTAAGATTTATTTTTAACTTTTTATTGGACTTATTGGGGTGACATAGGTTAATAAAATTATACAGGTTTCAGGTGTACAATTCTATAATCCATCATCTGTATATTGTATTGTGTGTTCACCAACCCAAGGGGAACTGATAGAATGTGTTCAACAATATGTTTAATGCTATATCAATAATTCTTTTTTTTTTTTTAAATATATCTTTATTGATTTCAGAGAGAGGAAAGGAGAGGGAGAGAGAGAGATAGAAACATCAATGATGAGAGAGTCATTGATCAAGCCCACAACCGGGGCATGTGCCCTGACTGGGAATCGAACCCCGATCACCTGGATCCTAGGTTGATGCTCAACCGCTGAGCCACGTCCAGCCGGGCTATATCAATAATTCTATAACTTCAAGGGTGGAGGAACAGTTTAACCCACTTCCTTGAATTAGAGTTATATTCATGTCTTCATTTTTTAAATTTACTCATACAAGTCTATAGCTTCATCCTGATTGATCAACTAATTGGGTATTAGGGTTTTAAGATGCAAAACTATAGATCCAGATACCTTTGGATATGAGGGGATGCTAAGATTTTGGTAACTGAGAGATACTTCTATTCTTCTGTATCGTTAGAACATTACAACTCTTAAGGATATCTGAAATGATATCCCATTGAAATTTGCAGATTTCACATGACTTTAGAGTTTTCATATACAACCTATGAGTTTTTAAAAAAATGCCTCCTAATGAGCTCAGGTGATCAAAATTAATACCACCAATAATGTGTGTCTGGATGTGATTCACTAAAGAAGAAACAACCTCATTAATATAATATTTTTACCCAAAATGCATAACCTGAATCTAGTCATAAGGAAAAAATTACACAAACACTTCAGAAAAAATTAAAACAAACCAAAATTGAGAGTTATTGTACAATACAACTGGCATGTACATGTAAAAATTCTAAAGATCATGAAAGAAAAAGAAAGGTTGAAGAATTTTTCCAGAAAAAGTGAACCTAAAAAGTTTGACAGCTAAAAACAATTTGCGATTCTGGATTAGATGCTGGGTCAAAAAGTAAACTTCTATGGAGGATATTGTTGCTATAATTGGCAGTTTTTATATGATCTGTGTATTAGTTACCAGAAGTAGAGAAATGTTAAATTTGTATTGTGGTTAAGAAAGTGAATGTCCCTGCACTTCCATGATACATGATTAAATATTTGGGACAAATGATCATAATAGAAGCAACCTACAAAAGGATTTCAATGCATGTATAAACAAATGTGGCAAATAAAGTCAATGAACATAGGTAAAGACTGCATATGTATTTAGAGTTTAATATGTCATTGTTGCAATTTTTAGGGTTTGTAATTTTACAAAATAAAGGCCAAGTAAAAGAATGCCTTCTATTGTACATAGCATTAATTAATTTTTACAGTTTTCAATGAATCTGTGAGTTAATAATACCATATTATCTGTGTGTCATTGTGGACTCATAATGCCTCATAAAGTCCATGTATTTTTTAAAAGATATGTCTTTATTGATTTTAGAGAGCGGAAGGGAGAGGGAGAGAGAGAGATAGAAACATCAATAATGAGAGAGTCATTGATCGGCTGCCTTCTGCATGCCCTGGCTAGGGATTGAGCCCGCAACCCGGGCATGTGCCCTGACTGGGAATCGAACCTCGATCTCCTGGATGCTAGGTTGATGCTCAACCACTGAGCCACGCCCAGCCAGGCAGAGTCCATATATTTTAACTACAGTCATAACTCTCTATTACTGCAACTTTCACCAAGAGAACCTACTATTCTGCTGATCCTTAAAATCTTTGGACGTGGCCTCACTAATGTTTGAATGCTTTCTTACTTTCTGACACATAAAATGGTTCAAGTTTACTTTATATCTCTCTGCAGGAAACCAGAATCAATGATTTCTTCAAGAAGTCTTAGTCACTTTTACTGAAAAAAAAAAAAAAAAATAGTATTAGAGATCATGATGTCTGTATCTTAAGATTGTCATATGTAAAATGAGAATAGCACTATTTGCTGACACTGACTAGTTAAAAACTTAAACAAGATAATTCACATAAAATACAGTGCCCGGAGCCCGGCGGTGTGGCTGGCTCAATACCCCTAGTTCAGGAGGCAGCCAATTGATGTTTCTATCCCTCTCTCCCTCTCCTGGAAATAAACTGGGCAAATAATACAGTAGCCAGCATCTGGTCCACATAAATGTTCAACAAATGTTACCTATTTTTATTATTATTACTAAAATGGGAAAAAATATGAAACAGATTCTTCCATTATTCCAATTCTTCTTCCAGAATTGGCAAAGAATTCTTTGATCTATGGTTAATTTAGTTGCTTTAGAAAAGGCTCAGACCATTCACCTAAGACATTCATTTCTATTTCCCTCCCAACTCCTCTCACATCTTTAATATTTCTTAGTTTTCCTTGAGCTGGAGCTCCCATCCAAGTTGTTCTTTTTACAGAGCTCATGGATGCTAAAGATGCTAGGGAGTTCTTTAAAGGAGCAATCCAGTGCTCTTGAAGATGAAGATAAGATATTTTATGGGAAACAAGATGACTTTTCAGCCTTTGATGAGTTTCTTTGGGCATCTTTTCAGCATGCTGGCTGCCTTATTGTTTGATGTAGGTGGTAGAGAAATATCCAGGATATCCCAAGATTTACACTTATGTCCATCTAAAGACTTAAAATCCCTAGGCCCCGAGTCTACCTAACATAGCTCAATTGTCTCTGATAAATTTATTGTTTGTTTTAATAGCCAAAATTTCCAGCCTGGGGTAAATAATAGCGCTCTATCAAGAGTATTTGTGAGGAAAGGAGAACACAGTGCATGTGAAAATGACTTATGACTGCTACATGTTGTGTAACTACAAACTATTGCTTTACTATACATAAATCTAGTGCCCTGGGTAATGTGGTTACCACATGGGACTAGAGGTCAGGAGTGTGTCTGAATTTCAGGTGTGGTTCAGCCACTCAGTGGATGATCCTGGGCAAATCATATTAGCATGATATGTTTTGTTTTCCCATTTTAAAAATGCAGATAAAACACACGCCCTTGTAAAAATAGATATAAAAAGGATTTCATAAGCACATGTCAGAGAATTGGCCCAAGATGGCAGATGGATCTAGTTGTCTTATCATTTGTCTAAGCCTCATTAAATGACTAAAATTAACATCAATAAGAGGCAGGGAAGAGAAGAATTCATTAATGCTTCAGATGTGTTGGGGAATTCCTAGAAGCTGCAAGAAACTGCAAGAAACCACCACCTATAATACCTATGAAACGTCTGTTAGAAAAGCACAGTGGGGA